GGATCAATAAACCACCTCCTGAACCGCCCCCTAGAAAATATCTTCGCTTCTCTCCGATTTCCTCTCTCGAGTGGGATAACACCCTCACCAACCTTCTCAGTGACACCAGTCTATTCACGCCCTTACAAACCCATCATATGATCCGCCGCGATCCCCTTTTCGAGCGCTCACGGATAGCCCCTTGGGAAACCCAACACGCTCACAGGATTACCTTTGGCATGAATACCCTCCCAGCAGATGACACCGATCCTAAGACACACACAAAAGAAAGAATATCTGAAGACAAACGACAATGCTCTGTGAAAGCCCTTCAGTCCTTACCACCATTTGATGCTGTTATAGCTACAGATGGCGGAGTCAACGTTAGCGAAGGTAAATCAGTAGGCATTGCCACCACTATACCTGAACCCTACACGCCAACCCGGGCGAGTGTTGTCCACATCAACTGTGGACCCATCGCTTGCAGTTACCGAGCGGAGTGCCTCGGCCTCCTCTTGGCGCTTGAAAAACTCGTCTCAGAGATCATAAATAACGAGAGCCGCATGTTTCCCGCCCACCATAAATCAATCCTCATCGTTACCGACAGCCTTTTGCTAGTGTTAGCGCTCAACACTGGACCTCTCACCCAGACTTCCTTCATCGAGGACACCTTATGGTACCACCTTCTTGAAATCGAAAATCAGGGTTGGTGAGTGCACATCCAGTTTGTGTACTCGCACTGCGGAATCGCTGCTAACGAGATCGCTGGCAAATGGGTCAAACATTATCTCGATAATTATGATTTCTTGAGCAAACAGCCCCAATCTGGTGCGTTGACATGTTACCATGTATCAAGCGCAAACTGCGAACGGAATGGCTCGAATAGTTACGAACAGACACACACCGGTATAAACTATGTGGTGCTCGGCCCGCCGACCCTAGCGGACTTGACCTTCTTACAGGCCGTCCCTTAAGCCGCTTCCAAGTTTCACAACTGGCCCAGATACGATGCGGCGAAACCACCACCTATGGCAGACTTTTCTGGTCTATCCGAGGTTGCAAAAATCGATGTCGCTTCTGCAACTTGTCCGAATTTCAGCACACCATATTAAATTCATGCCAAACGTTCCTTGTAGAGGATCTAAATGGTGACCAAGAACTTGAAGGTAACTACAACCCTACTGGTGTGCTCCCCTTTAGTAAGAAACCCTGAACTTCACCCTTGTTTCGATCGTGAACAATGAAGCTTGAGGATCCTCCTCTTCATCGCATCCCTTGTCTTTTGACCAAACTCAAGACGACCCACAGGAAGATCATAACCCCACCGGTGAACTACCGAGAACGATTCCCCACACCTCGTACGCTGCTTTCCCCGGAAGCAACCCACTTTAGGGTTCCTTCTCCCCCGCGAGAGAATATCCTAGGTCCCGTCCCAGGCTCTCTCGCGCCGCCGCTACCCAGGTAGATGTTACCCACGAAGATGAATGCTCAGAAGAACTACCAAACAAAAGGCCCAGGACTTCCGACGCTCAACCTGGAAGAATCAGTGCCCCACGAGTATTCTTGACCAATCGCACCGAATTGCTCTGTGCCTTTTGTCAGAGAGTGTTTAGAGCTACTCTACCCTCGTGACTCACCACAAGAAAAGACACCCGTCCATTCCCGTTCCATCCTCAAAGTGTTCTTGTGAATACTGCAATGCCCCCTTCGAGTCGCACAAAAGTAGAGTGCAGCATCGCCGACACTGCCCGTTAAACCCCGCCTCAACCGCTCCTCGCCAACGCTCGACCATACGCCGCTCGCTCTTCCCTGCACCAGAACACCCTTCGTCCCTTCCTACTAACATAGGTGCAGAAGTAACGTTACACCACCTTCTTTTTGAATGTCAGGCATCGATTGTGTCCGAAAACCGTG